GAACGGAGGAATTGTTATTTCGTTAATGTCAGGGCGATCCTTTGTCTCTTTACCGGCTACCAACGCCATGTCGCTGGCAATCAGAAGTAAAGCTGTTACTACCACTCTATTCATTGTCTTTAATATTCATTTCAAAATAAATACTTTGATCTAGAGTGGAGACATCGTCCTGCCCAGCCGTGTATTGCGTGGCTGCAGAATCGCTGTGGAGAATATGCAAATGAGATGTCAACGTAACGCGTTTGTGACGTCATACAGAACAGAGAATCGTGTAGCGCAAGGGATGATCTCGAACGTCCGAGAACTATAATTGGCATGTATTACAATGACAAGTTCCCTATTCTGATATATATATATATATATATATATATATATATATATATATATATATATATATATATACAGACTTGACATTTAATATGGAATATTTCAGTTTCGAAGGCATGCCTAGGTAAAAATTAATGCGTTCTTTTTTCAAAAAACTCCGATCTCATATAAGATATGTCAATGGAGAATTGTGTATCAGGTGTGTAGCTACCAAATAACTGAATTCCAGGTTTGTTGCACTGCTGAATTAAGTTATATGCAGTGATTTAATTGGGTAGTGCTCCTTAGCGCAGGTCAAAGCTTGGCTTTGGCAAAGCATGGTTCTGTCAAAAAAGTTTCCATATGTCGGCAACTACTGCATAGAAAAATTTGAAATTTTGCATGCAAGTGGTCGGTTTTGCAGTGTGTAAAATAAGCTACGCCGTGCTTTACAAATTTATTAATCTGTGGCAGAATGGCGCGAAAAATACAGACATTACCAGAGAGATAATTGCGCCGAACGAAACGGTCCGCACAGTTTTATAGAGTAATGCCCAGACTGAGGTACCTACACAGAGGCTACACACAATGTATTGAAATCTTACCACCAGGGTACAGGACCCACTGTATACCAGACGACCTCCGAGGAACCCACTGTAAACAGCAAAACATCGTTATATGTTTCTCTAATGAATTGAGGACCTTGACCGTTTCTGGGTTGAACACTGAAACCTCGTGGCTTTCTTTATTGAGGTCATATTTCACCTGTACCACTCAACTAGTCAAAACAGAGTTTACAGACGTCCAGAAGAGGCCAACGACGAAGCGTGTGCCGCGTCTAAAGTGACTAAGATCATTAACAGCGTCAGTATATGGGGTGGATACCACATTGGTGCCAAAACACCAATGGTTGTCATCGACGAAAACCTGAACCAGATCAAATAAAGGAATAATCTGGGAACCACCTGACTATCATTTGATAGAGGGCAACTAAGGAACAGTTTTAGGTTGCACGGTGAGATTACCGGTTCACACAGAGCGCTTTTAATAGCAGATTACTTACGGAACCAAGGGAATGAGCAGCTACCTTGGTCATCAAAATCGCCATATTTTAACCACATAGACAATATGTGGGTTGGTCATTACTCGCCGAATCAATGGTCTAAATGTCCTACAACAAAACTGGACCAAATTGGACAGATTTTGACCGATGCCTGGAATGTTATTCCAGATTGAACTCTACAAAACTATCCCAAGGAATGCCTTGCAACTTGAAAGCGCTGGTAGCAGCCAGAAGAGGTCAGGCGTAACAGCGACCGTTACTGTGACTAGACACTGACATGGGGGTCCCTTGTGGAGCGTGTAACTCTTTTACAGGTAATAATTTGGAAAATATGGGATCCAAAATATCTCTTTTAATGGTTGTCGTATTGTATGACACACAATAAGCAATGTGTTTTTGTTTGCTACTCTGGCGAATTCCATTAAAGAACTGATGTCAAAGTGACATCAAAAAGATAATTAAAAGTTATTAAAACACTATTTTAATACTTATTTTCATTTATCAGTCAGCAAAATAGGAAAAAACTGATGAAAAATGATTTGGAAAAAAATATTCCATATTAAATGTCAAGTCTGTATATATATATATATATATATATATATATAT